GCCCCTACCACCTATAGGTAGTTTTAAACAAGTTTCTTTTGAAATAGATACCTGAATGCCAATTATGGCTTTTTGGATTATAACTAGAACCCCTCTTTTTTGGATCCACCTCACATCAATAACCTAGCCCCTACCACCTATAGGTAGTTTTAAACAAGTTTCTTTTGAAATAGATACCTGAATGCCAATTATGGCTCATAACAATCTATCTTCGGAGGCATACGATGATTCTTTAACCATTTGGGGTGTTAATTTACCGACTAAAATATCACCAATCTCTACCCAAGATCCTAGCATCACAATTCCATTTTTTGTCTAAATTGCGAAGTAAATGGGCTTCTAAATGTGGTATTTCATTAGTGATCCTTTCAGGGCCTTGGATTGTCACATGATTCTAAATCTCATATTTTCGTATATGAAAAGAAGTATAAATATTTTCATATACCAAAGGCTCACTAAAGAGTACTGCATCTTCAAAGTTGTAACCTTTCCATGGCATATAAGCTAGTAATACATTTTTCCCCAAAGCAAGTTCACCAACAATCGTAGCAGCACTATCTGCTAAAATTTGTCCCTTTTTAATACATTTACCCCGATAAACCTAGGGTTTTTTATGCATACAAGTATTTTTGTTGGAACGTGGATACATAAGTAATGGAATGCTTAGAGTATCTCCATTACCTGAGAAAAGGATCTTTTCAGTATCGATATAAATGATCTTTCCCTCACGTTCGGCTATAGCAAGAGCCCCTGAACTTGGAGCTGCTTGTCGTCCCAACCCAATTCCAACAATGCATTTCTCGAGCAAAGAAAGCGGAACTGCTTGACGTTGCATATTAGAACTCATTAAAGCCCTATTCGCATCATTATGTTCGATAAAAGGAATGAGGGAAGCTCCAATAGAAAAATATTGGAAGGGAAAAATACTTCGAAGATGAACCTGTTCCCATGCAATAGTCAGGAATTCTTGACAGTATCGAGTTGGAACAACCTATTTTTCCTAAATATCCTGATTCAACTCCAAATAATTTTTTGCCGCTACCATATAGTATTCATCTCTACGTAGTGATAAATAAAGCATTTGTACCCCTGTTGATCTTTCAGAAATTTCATAAAATGGGCTTTCTAGAGATCTCCAATGACCAATCCTAGCATGAATTGCTAAGGATCCAATAAGTCCAACATTAATTCCCTCAGATGTGTCAATTGGGAAAATACGCCCATAGTGACTGGGATGGATATCTCGTATCCGAAAACTAGCAGTTCGCCCTGCTAGTCCTCTAGGGCCCAAATAAATCAATTTTCTCCCATGAACTATTTGTGTCATAGATTAGTTTGATCCAAAACTTGAGATAAGGGGTATAAACCGTAAAAAAATTCATAAGTGGTTGTTAATGGAGTTGAAGTTACAAAATTCTAAGGAGTCGGTATCAATTTGTGTCGAAATGCTCTACATATAGTTCCTCGAACCACATTTTCTAAATGAACCAGAGTCAATTTGAATTGATCTTGTAAAAGATCCGCTACAGAACGAATACGTTTATTTTTCAATGATTCATATCTTCAAGTGTACCCATTCCAAATTTTAGTTCAATCAAATGATTAGCGGCTGCCAATATGTCTCGTGGTAACAAAATCCTTCCTAATTCACATCTTTGCTAAAAGAACTTCTTTTGTAATATNTAAGAAAGTAAGTAATTTGACCAATTTTTCAAACTTGAAATTCCTACTCAATAAATGTTATTAGACTGGTAGATAACATACACGACACTTGCAATTCGAACTACGATACAAGTAGTTTTCACGTTATTAGTTTTCATTGCGCCATTAATGGTCAACAATCGCCCCTGCTCACTTGAAATCATAGATCCGCCACTATTCTAACTTGAAACTTCTATGTAGTACAGAAGAATTCAAAATTGATCTAAACTGGATCGATTCGATAGAAAATAGATTGGAGCTACCTCCATATGTGCACAAGCAAAACTTTACCCCATCAATAGGATGCGCAGTACGTTAACGCAAATACTGCATATACAAGCTACAGTTTTTATAAACGCTCTGAGGCATGTCTCTGCAGGGTTCAGTGCATCAGCTGCTTGAAGCTCGTCTATGCGAAGAAAAGTGAAAAAACGAACCATTTTAGAAAGAAAAAAGATTCAAGTGTGAAGACAGAAGTATGCAGTCGGGTTTATTGGTAGCTGAATCCATCGATAAAGGTGATTCCTGATTGAAGTATGTTGAAGAAGTTAGTGATGATGCTTTGTGTGAGCAAAAGGTTATGCAAGATGGAAGACCAGGGTGCTCTAAATTTTTACATGTAAAATTTACAAGGACTGTGTGATTTATGTGACATTCAAGGAAAATGCTTCATGGTTTCAAAATCATAGTTGTTCTCCTAATTGTAAACTGGGCATATATAACAAGTTGATTTGGGGATCCATTTAAGTGGGAAACACGGGTGAAAAAATTTGAAATTCTGAGAAAAAAATTGAATTGTCAAAATTGTTCTCCACAGGTTACGTATTCTGTGCAACCTCAGTGCATCAATCTTTTTTGACAATTATACAAACATGCATTTTAAATTACATGACTATTACACGGACAGTCCCTTTATATGAAAAAATTACAGAGACATTTGATTTTTGTTGACTATTGATTATCGCTTTTACAGGTTTAAGCCTTTTTTAGGAAAACATCTCTTGAGATGTCATAATTCATGTTTTAATTAGTTTGTAGTTTCACCATCTAGGATATAAGAATGATGTGATGTCTAGAAAGCTATCAAGATGAGATTAGTTGGCTAAACTTAAATGTCGCTGCTGCATTTGACTCCTTGAGTTGGGTTTCTTCTTGCTTTATTAAAACTAGCTGGTATTTCAGTGTTGGAAAATCTGAAGTCAATAAAGAGTTTAAGCTCTTTATATCTTCAGGATAAGTGGACAAAAAGTGCTAGAGGGGCAATGCAGGTTTTTCCAGCAAAGGAGAGTGTTTGTACTTTGTGAAAGAACTAGTCCATGGATTGGAATGAGCTCACGAAGATGACATGGTACATAAATATGATGTGGAGGTAATTCTAGGAGACACAATGAAGAGAAAGGTGTCATTGTCTCCCCTCAAAGTTGTAAGTATTATGCCCTAGGTCCAATCAACTTTGGACATAAATACTTTTATATATATAATTAATGCAATTAAATGGCAGATATATTATTTAATTAATAGACAATTAAATAAATAATATAGTCCGTAGATTCAAATATTTGTAATTTGTTAATCACAAGGAGTTGTGATTGTGAGATACAAATTACATCTGATTGAATCTTAAATCATCCGTGGTCGTAAGTAATAACGAGATACGGATATCGTTATTACGGATAAACCATCACGTGTGGCATTTCTTACTTGTAAAGTAAGTAGCTGATCTCACAAGCTAAAGTGTGGTGACACTTAAATGAACACGTGGATGTTTTTGTTATAGAATAAAACATTGGAGACCCGTCGAGAGATTCCACATGGATAACTATCTGAGTGTCAGTGGTTAATCTCTAACGTTCGATAGTGGAATTGGTCCTTTGACTTGAGGTCGTCATAGTACCTTATATGAGGACAATCATACTTTGGCGGTGTTGGATGTAACTCTGAAAAGGGCCGCTAATACGACATCGTTCGGGTACGTCAAGAATCGTATGAAGGTTGTGATTGATCAATAAAGGATTCGTCACTCTTAGATAGTAGGAGATTATGATCTGCGTTTCATTCAATTAAGTCAATGATGAAATCCTTAGCCAAGGTGTACTCATAAGTCGAAAAGGAGTTTTCGATTTATATTGACTTAATAATGGAGTGAAAGATATGATCGATGATCGAGATTGACACAACTCCATATCTCGTAATTGATCGGAACATATTGACGAATGGATTATAGTTTCACGATAAACGAACGAATTTGATTTTGTTATACCACGTGACATTTCCCGTCACATGTATTGCCCTGACACATTGCTAGATGTCAATCAGGGACGGCGAATGTGAATTGACGATAAATTAAAAGGGTGTTTTAATTTATCAATTTTGATTAGATCGAAATAATATTTCACGTCGTTAGGCATCGTGGTCGGGAACCTAATGGGTCACACACAAAAGAGAATTGGAAGATTGCAAATTGCCAATTGGTTAATTTAACAATCGTTGGATAAATTAATTAATTGGATTTGTTATTTATATTTTCGAATTAATTAATTGGATTAATTAATTCACGGACCGGGTTTAATTAATTGAATTAATTAATTATTGGACTGGATCGGACCGAGCCTATTTGGATTTATATAAATACATAACTAGAATTTGAGGTCCATAAGGTTTTCATTATTCTTGCTGGCACAAGAGAAAACCCTAGAAGCTGCAATCTTATTCTCTGTGTAGATCACCATTGGAGGCTGGACAATTGGACAGCTGGGGTGGCAAATCAAGGTTGATGGAACGAAAGGAAAAGCAAAAAGATTGCAGATCTGAAAAGGTACAATCTTATCACAATTTCTATCTAAACACAAAGGCGATTCTTGGTGGGAATCGAAAATTATTTTAAATTCCGCTGTGCATGTATAAGTAGATTCCCAACAAAAGTTGTCAGTTTCACTCAATATTTCGCTAACATTTGGACCCAATAAAAATTCGTAAAATATGAGAAAAGTGATAGTTTGATTTTCTTGTTGGGTCCCATCCTGCACAATAATCCAACTATATCAAAACAGTCCTCGAGAACTATTCACATTGATTGCACAGGCTCTAGATGATGAAGTTAATATATGAGCAGTTTTAAAATATTTTCTTTTTGAACTAAAAGGAAAGAGGTTGTAGTTCCAGGATCGAATTTATGCCAAAAAAAAATCAACGCAAAAATCAAGATTTTCTCAAAATAAAACAGAAAATAAGAACACGAGAGATTTTTCGACCAAAAGGCCCCAGATGTTCAATGACCACTTCTAATGCTTAGTCCGCCATTGAGCATCCATAAAGGATTAAGCTCGAATCCACTAAATATGCCAAAATAGGCAAAGATCAAATTATAGAACAAAAAGTTCCCAAATCAAAAATACAACACAATCTTCCCACAGTAGAACTCACACAAGAGTTTCTCTAACAATTCTCCCAAAATCACAATAAATATTTTCAAAGAAATCAAAAGATTAGAACAGAGAAGATGAAAGGCACGCAGCCAAGAAAAGTCTCAAAATACTAATTGTTAACCCTAAAAAATCAGATGCTTCCTATTTATATGGAAGGTAAGGATCCAACGTCCACCAATTTGCCACTTGTCATTGATCCAAAGAAAAGACGCTCATTATGATCAAAAACACGGGTTTCGAGTTAAAAGATTAGCCTTCCAGATTCTTCTTCACGGGTCATGATATTGGGCCATTTATTTGGGCTCAATTCAATAGCCTTGAGAAAAATGGGCTCACATCACAAAGTGCAGCAACCCAACAACTTACAATCTCCACCTTTGCTATATTTTGTGCTTGCATCTATGTGGATTCTAACTTAGTCTTTTATTTCATTTGCCCTAGTCACCTGAAAAGAAAAATTGTTAGCAAGTTTCGAGATTTAATAATCTCAAACAATCTGAAAACTTACAAAGTGGTATTACCTTTATCCCAACATCTGTAGGACTTACCTTAGTAGGTATTTTTATCAATTTAATATCACCTTTATCAATTATATCTCTAATGAAATGAAATTTAACATCAATATGCTTTGACCTATCATGAAAAACTGGATTTTTACTTAAGAAAATAGCACTTTGATTGTCAGAACATAACTCTACCTGACTTTCTATAAGACCTAATTCATTTAACAGTCCTTTAAGCCACAGTTCCTCTTTAATAGCTTCAGTGGCAGTAACATATTCTGCCTCAGTAGAGGATAAGGCAACTATTTTCTGAAGTTGTGACTTCCAACTAATGCAAGTATAATTTATGACATAAAAGTATGCAGAAGTAGACTTTCTATTATCCAGGTTTCCAGCAGAATCTGAATCAACATAACCTTTTAGTTTAAAACCATCTTTACTTGCTTTAAACATAAGTCCTAGATTACATGTCCCTTTCAAATATTTACTCAGGTTTTTCGTACATTCCCAATGAAATTCACCTGGATTACTCATGAATCTACTTAATACACTTACAACATATGCTATATCAGGTCTAGTACATACCATTACATACATAACTGATCCAACAGCATTAGCATAAGGCACATTTATCATTCTTTTAAATTGTTCTTCTGTTTTAAGTGATTGTTCAACTGATAATTTCATTCAAGCAGACAAAGGTAAACTGACAGACTTGGCATCCTTCAGGAAAATCTTTTAACCACTTTTTCAATGTAAGATTTTTAAGTTAAAAATGACTTGCCATTTATTCTGTCTCTTATAATTTCCATGCCTAAAATCTTTCTTGTAGGACCCAGATCCTTCATTTCAAATTCCAATTCCAATTTTTCTTTTATGGAATTAAGTGTAATAGAATTATGACCAGCCAACAACATATCATCAACATATAAAAGGAGGTAAAGAATTTAGAATCACTATTCTTCTTAAAATAGAAACAAGGATCAAAGTCTGATTTCTTGAACTCTAGGCCTTGTATAAAAGAATCAAATCTCTTATACCATTGCCTAGGAGTTTGTTTTAAGTCATATAATGATTTATTTAGAAGATACACTAGATTACCTTTATTTTTTGCCTCAAAACCTTTGGGTTGTGTCATATATATGGTTTCATCTAAAGAACCATACAAGAAGGCAATCTTTATATCAAGTTGCTGTAGTTCCATATCGAACTGAGTAACAATGGCAAGGAGAATTCTAATAGAGGTGTATTTAACTATAGGTGAGAAGATTTCGGTATAGTCTATCCCTTCTCTTTGAGTGAAGCCTTTAACTACAAGGCTTGCCTTATATCTTTTATTAGATATACTTGAATCCCCCTCTCTAATCTTATATACCCATTTACAATCAACCAATTTACATTCTTCAGGTTTCTTAACCAATTCCCAAGTTTTGTTTTTATGCAAAGAGTTTATTTCATCCTCCATAGCTTCTATCCATTTTAATGACTCTTTACAAGATACTGCATCCTCATAGGAGGTGGGTTCAAGATTAGAGGGGTCAAAATCTGTTTCAACAGATACATACTCTGCATATTGATATCTGGAGGGAGGTCTTATTTCCCTATTTTCCCTATCTCATGCAAGCTGATAATTTTGCAGCTCATGTACTGAGCTTAGTTCCTGATTATCATTCAAAATTTCAGCATCTGAAAGCTTAGTTCCACCTCAAACTGAGTGCCCATCAGTGTTTTCCTTATTCAACTCAATTTCTATGATAATAAAGTCATCATCCTTTTTGCTTTAATGGGTTTTGTCACGAGACATGGAAATTCATCCTCATTGAAAATCACAGACCTACTTATTATCACCTTATAGCCTCTAATATCCCTTAACCAAAGTCTATAGCCTTTAACTCCCTCTCTATATCCTAAGAAGACACTCTTTTGTGACCTAGGATCCAATTTTGAGTCATAATGGTATGCATATGTAGCACAACCAAAGGTTCTGGGATGGGAGTAGTCAAGCATAGTACCAGACCAGATTTGCTCAAGGATTCTATTATCTAAGGAACTAGAGGGGCATCTATTCAATAAGTAACAAGCTGTCTTTACAGCTTCCCCCCAAAATATTTTAGGCATGCCAGAACTAATCAACATACATCTGGTCCTTTCAAGAATAGTTCTATTTAATCTCTCAACAACCTCATTTTGCTGAGGTGTGTAGGTAACTGTTTCGTGTCTCAATATGCCTTGATTGCTACAGAATTGATCAAATTCTATACTACAGAACTCCAACCCATTATCAGTTCTAAGTGTCTTAATCTTCTTGCTTGTTTGGTTTAATTAATGTACACCATTGTTTGTAGATTACAAAATATCAGATTTTAATTTAAGCAAGAAAATACAGAACTTCCTGGAATAATCATCTATGATTAATAGGTAATATCTATAACCAGATACGGTAGATACCGGTGCAGGACCCCACAAGTCACTATATATATATATACTCCAAAATATTTTGAGACTTGTGAATACCTGCCCTAAAAGGCAACCTTACATGTTTCCCCAAAATACAATGTTCACAAAAGGTTAGTTTTTGAACATTATCCTTTCCAAATGCCCCTTGATGAGAAAGGGATTTTAGACCCTTTTCACCAAGATGGCCAAGTCTCTTGTGCTAGAGTTCTGACTTGTAAGAATGTGCAACAAGACTCATGAGATTATTCTTTGGATTAGGTTCAGTGTCAATAACATAAATTTCATTAATTTTTGGGGCACTAATAATGGGCCTTTGATCTCTGATTATATTTGTAAAACCATTCTTGATTTCAACATGATAACTCTCATCATCAAGAACACCTAGGGAGATTAAATTCCTACTTAGTGCTGGCACATATCTTGTATGTTTCATCATTAAGTAATGGCCAGATTTTAATTTCAAAAGGATATTACCTATGCCTCTAATTTGACATGATTCATTATTACCAAATTTTACAAAGCCTTCATTAAGGTCAGAGAACCAACCTTTATTAGGAGTCATATGAAAGGAACAACCTGAATCCAGAACCCAGTTCTGATCAGTCCTTTTAGTAACAGATACATAAGCAACCCCAATGTTGGCTCCTGCGTCTTTGTAGGGGACAACCATGGATGATGACCAAATCTCAAAATTGGGATTATTTTTCTGGTCATTGGCTTTCTTAAAGCAATCTTTGATAAAATGACCTAACTTCCCACAATAATAGCACTTTTTGTTCTTTGCCTTGGTCTTATTAAATTTCTTGTCCTTTCCTTTATTATTATTGGGCAATTTCCTTTTTACAAAATTTATGTCCTTGTTGTGATTAGGCTGACTAAAATTACCGATACCCTTAGTTTGAGATTTTTGATTTGCAAGGGCATTTTCAACATGAAATGCCTCCTTATGTTCAGATTTCACTTCTAACTCCTTATTCAAAAGAGAGGTATGGATAATTTCAACCGTCAAGTCACTCCTACCATATTCCAAGGCATTTCTTATGTCTTTATATTTGTCCCCTAAGGCATTTAGTAGACCTACTACCTTTTGTTCATTAGAGATCTTTTCTTCACAATTTATAAGATCTTGAGTGATCGTATTAAATATGTCCATGTTTTCTTCTGTATCAAGATTGGGATCAAACTTAAAACTAAAGAATTGCCTACATAGAAAACATTTATTTGGTAAAGACTTAGTTAGGTACTATTTTTCTAAGGCTGTCCATAATTCTGCAGCAGTCTTAGTTTCTCCTACTTTTCTAATCATAAAGTCAGATAAGTGTAAGAATATAGTACTCCAAGCTAGCTCATCTTGATCAATTTTTCTATTTTTAGGTAGGTTTTCAGGCCAAGATTCATCAACAACTTTAGCACATTTTAATTGTAACAGTAAGGCCTTAATTTTTTGGTGCCAAAGACTAAAGTCTCCTTTGCCATCCCAAATCTAAACATCTACTTTTGAATTCATAGTAAGCAACAATATGTGAATTGTGCTCAAGTGTGTTATGTACAGTAATTTGTCACACAAGTCAATACAGTATATGTCAGAAATAGCATACAATCCAGAAATATTATACGGCCAAAAATATACTTACACTAAGTAATCAAAAAGGAAAGTTCTCAACAAGTATACCTTCACAAGAGCAAGTAAATGTGATTGGATATTTCCTAATTGAACAGGAAGCTCAAAAAAAAAAATCACACCGTTAATATCATCCAGCAGTTTATAAAGAAATAAATTCAAGTTATAAAATATACACATAGTATTAAACTAACGAGAATTTTAGAAAGTTGGAAATTCTTGTTTCTTGAATTGAAAGATCCCTGGATTTCCTCAGATTCTAGGGTTCTCTTAAGGAACCCTAGACAAAGGCAAATACAAAGTAGATCAAGTCGAACCAACCTCCTTTTTCTTTTAAAAGAAAACTACCAACAAGAAATACTGCAGGATTAAAAAAAAAAAAAAACACCCTGAAGATATAGGAAAAATAATGACAGAAGCACCCAAGAAAATTTTTCAAATGTTGGCAAATCTGAAATTGCCCGTTTTCTTTAGGCCGAGAGAATCCCCCTTTGAGATTCGAGTTTCAGAAATCAGGTTGTGAGAAAACTGAAATTTCTTAAAAAAAAAAAATTTAAGCTCTGATACCACTGTAGTTCCAGGATCGAATTTATGCCAAAAATACTCAACGCAAAAATCTAGATTTTCTCAAAATAAAACATAAAATAAGAACACGAGAGATTTTTCGGTCAAAAGGCCCCGGAGGTTCAACGATCGCTTCTAACGCTTAGTCCCCCGTTGAGCATCCATAAAAGATTAAGCTCGAATCCACTAAATCCGCCAAAATAGGCAAAGATCAAATTACAGAACACAAAGTTCCCAAATCACATAGACAACACAATCTTCCCACAGTAGAACTCACACAAGAGTTTCTCTAACAATTCTTCCAAAATCACAATAAATATTTTCAAAGAAATCAAAAGATTAGAATAGAGAAGATGAAAGGCACGCAGCCAAAAAAAGCCTTAGAATACTAATCGTTAACCCTAAAAAATCTGATGCTTCCTATTTATATGAAAGGTAAGGATCCGGCGTCCACCAATTTCCCACTTTCATTGATCCAAAGAAAAGACGCTCCTTATAGTCAAAAACACATTTTTCGATTTAAAAGATCAGCCTTCCAGATTCTTCTTCACGGGTCATGATATTGGGCCATTTATTTGGGCTCAATTCAATAGCCTTGAGAAAAACAGGCTCACATCACAAAATGCAGCAACCCAACAACTTACAGAGGTCACACTAGCCAGATGGATATTAAGAAGCTTCAACAAGAGCTTTGGAAACTAAGAAGCTCCAATGATAGCTTTCTTATAGTGGGGATTCTCAAAACTTCGGCATGAAATTGGATTTGGAATTTCCAAAAATCACTTTCACATTTCCAAGTCTTTTGCAGAATGGAGCAAACAACTCCTGGTGGATTTCCTTGGCATTGACTTCAGCAAATGAATGCCATTTTTTCTCTTTTTTTTGTGTGGTAAATACTCCTACTTATCTAACTAGAATGGAGTGTTTGGCATTGCTCTCTACCCTACTATGTTTAGATAAAAAAGTACATGAAGGGGGATATAGACCTTAACTCCTGAAAGGTTCAAGGGATTACAAGATTGAAATTAAAATATGAATGCCTAGTACACAGTATTTTTAAGACTTTTAATGCCAAAACCTTTCTTCTCACCTCCCGTGAAACTAACTTCTTTACATTCTTTGATCACTGCTATTCTGCATACTTGTTTATGTTATCACTTTGCACTCTACAATGAAGACTCTATCAAAGTTCTTTTCAGGTATAGTAAAAATAATTTGAGATACAGAAATTAAATATGTGAATATCGGTAATTCTATGGCAAAATCGTGATTTTTAACACATCATTTCATCGTATTTCTCAAATGGAAGTTGTGAACTTTGTTAGTTGCTTCCTTGAAGCTTTAGTTTAGTTTAAAACATCATCCACCAATCTGAGTTTTTAAAACTGTTCGATTTGTAGCACAGTATTGTTCGAAACGATAAGTTATTCACTATTGTATTACTTGCAGTGATGTCGTACACTAGCAATTTTTGCAACAGTAAGCATTGGAAGATGATGATAATCTTGCTAAACTCGGACGGTTGGGTGGAAGCAGTGAGGCAAAGAAAGAATCAAGCAGTTGAGCCAATATATAGAAAGATGCCAAGCAAGCGTCTTCTGAATTATTCTTGAAATATTCAAGAAGAGGCAAGGGAAAGAAGATGTAAAAGGATGCTGAACAACCTAGAGAATCAACAAGGTTGGATGGTGCTAAATTGTTCTTGGTCCGACTTTTAATCTGTTAGATAGTTCTGAATTTGGTTTTCTTACTTAAAAAACATAACAGTTCTTTTACTGTAATATCATATATTAGCACACATACAATTGTGTGCGTGTGTTTTTCCTTTTTTTATTTTTTTATTTTTTTTTGTGGCAGAACAAAATTGACTTCATTTTATAGATATATGTACGGTGAAACAGTTAAATTTTCGTTAAAAAATGAAAAACTTAGGCCATTAACATAGTTCGGACTACACTTATGATTTGTAATATTTGAATTATGCACAATTACTTATCGCATAGTTCGGATTGCGGGCAACTTGCGTGCATCTATCTTTTCGTCAAGTGCAATATGAAAATTAGATTCATGTAATTGCTGATTGTTTTCATGCAATCTATTCGTCAAGTGCAATCTGAGAAAACATATCAATCTGGCTATTGTGGTTTGAACTGTCAACCTCCCACGTAAATTCCATACCTTTTACGGCTTGACCAACTATCCATATTTAACTATTTCTTTGAAGTAAAATATATGGTGTGCGTATGTAACAAAGGTGAACCGATACAAGAAACAATAGCTGAACAGCCTTTCCTTTGTGAAACGGCTTGTGAATGGCAGCCTAAACCAAATCTTCTGAAAGATTGAAGCTGGCGTTGGGAAGTAGACAAGCCAAGTATTCCTCAACCTCCTGACTCACAACGGATATTACGAATCAGAACTAAAGTGATTCCAATCTTTGCCAATCTATATCTTTCATTGCTAAAAACTAGATGAGAGATTTGCACTTTGGTGAGGAAGGGAATTCTACTTCAGACAGTGCAGCAGAAGCAACTGCTGAAAGTTAAGTTTGTTGTGTTGATGATCCTAATGTAGGCAGTTGATGTTGCTCGCTTACTTTTCAGCAGATGCACAAATATAGTTCATAGTATAGCCTGTAATGTATAGGATGTATGAATTGGTTCTCTGGCTAGTTTTCTTTTGTAAGTGCTTATCAAGGAAACAATCCAAATTTCATCACAATGTCTTAAAAAAAAAGAAAAAGTTTACTGTAATTTTTTTTCCTATTTTATATAGTAGTTCTTCACTTTGAAGAAAAACCTTTATAAAATCTCTCTGTAATTTATAAATAACCTCAAATAAGTAAAGGTCCATAGTGGCGGCCCTGAGTATAGGCGAAGTAGACGATCGCCTAAAGTCCCGCTTTGATGAGGCCCCAAATTATATAAAGTTAATTGATTGGTTGAAGAAAAATGAAATTTATATGTATGAAATTTTGAAAAGAAAATTATCGTATGCAAACAGAAGGAACTAATAAAAATTGAAAATACAAAAATTTTTAAAATATATATATGGCAACAAACTTTCACTCACATTTATTTATCACAAACATTACTTTCCCTATTTATAATTAAGTTGACACTTTGTCTTCCAAACATTCATTTTCTTTTTTTTAACCAAACAAAAGGTCTCTTTGTCATTTCAAATTCCATGTCCAACAATCACCCATAATTATTTTTTTAACTCAACAAGATATAAATTATCTCCCTTTAAATTAAAATTTTGAAGATTCAATGCAATTTGGTTTAATCTCTCTGCCATTATTACAACCTTACATGTTTCTTTCTTTCTCTTTTATCTTCAAAACATACACTACAGAATACATAAGTTGTTATTATATTGTTTTGTTTTAATCTCATCATAATAATATTTTTAGATGTTTGCTGAAAACACTTTGAATTTAATAATTCTTTGTCGTTGTTTATACAAATACTTCTTATTTTAAATTAATTTCTTATAAATCAATATAAAATTAGAAGTTCGTTTGTATTTGATCATTATTTTCATTATTTTGTTACACTATCTTTTGCAGTCACATTCTCTAATTTTGTACATAAATTACTCAAATGTATATTAAATTTTATTTGAAATAGTTGTAGTGGGAGAATAATCATACAAATGAGCACACCACTTTGACATTGCATTGTAATTCTGTTTGTCAAACTTTACTTGTAATTTGTATTGCTGGTTGAAATTTGAAATTTTATTAATTTTCTCTTCAAATTTTTGGGCTTAGTTGTTTGTGTTGAATTCTTTCTAATTAAATTAAGCTCCTGTTTGGTATCGATCAATTAAAATCTAGATTTTAATCTAAATCAAAATTGATAATTAATTTTAACTACATATTTTATGGGTTTCAAAACTCTAAATCTACATATTTTATCTATTTCTATCAAAATTTACCAAAAAATTGATTTTAGGGGTTGTTTGAGCCCAATTTTTTTTTTTCCCAAAAAATGCATTTTGAAATAGTGTTAAGATGGAGAATGTATGGTTAAAAAATAAATAAAAGTTTTGAATTTGCATGTAATATTATTTTATTGAAAAATGTGATTGAAATGGTGTCAAAGCACTATTGAAAAAATATATTTTGATGAAAAATGGGGCTCAAACAATGGCTTAATCTCCATCAAACAGACTAAAACTTTATACAGTGAGACTTAAGATATAGGGCCTCAATTTGAAATTGGCATAAGGCCCCCAAAATATCAAGGCCAACCCTGAAGGTCCAGAACAACAACGTGCTTTCATTTTGCAAAAGAATATAAGATGCTATGATGACTTGAATGTAGTTTTGATGATCTATTAATTGTTTTCCCTAACTTATATTTAAGTGGTCATTAGTATTTCATCTACATTCCCCTTTGGAGTTCCTCCCTTGAATTCATGACAGCATATAGTCACCACAGTTATTGCTTCCATTGCCAGTCCAGTTTGTACAGCTGTATTAATGTTTAAGATCTCACTTTTTACTTTAATTTTGATGGAGATCAAGATAAGAATAAGTATATAGATAGATTGTAGTTAGTATTTTAAAGTATATCTAGTCAAATTATATTAGATTAGTTTTTACATTTTGATACAATTATAATTTGTTTTCTTTATAACTTCTTTTATTTTATTTGCTCTATAAATAGAGGGGCTTAGTCAATGTAATAGACAACATGGTTATATAAATAAAGATTGATTTTTCTTTACCCTCAATTTTTTCTTCTTGAATCTTGTTTCTTTTCTTAATTTTCGATTTCTAGTCTACCTCATCGAAGCCGTGTTCTCTCAGCAGAAGAGATAAAAACGGAGATCAAGATAAGAATAATGATAGAGATAGATTTTAACTATTATTTTAAAGTAGAGTTTGATTTAAAGTATAATACTCCCATTATATTGGATTAGTTTTTATATTTAGATATAATTATAATTAGTTGAAATTTTGTTTCCTTTTTAAATTCTTGTAGTTTATTTGCTCTATAAATAGAGGGACTTAGTCAATGTAATACACAACCAGATTATATGAATAAAGATTAATTTTTCATTGCCCTCAATTCTTGTCTTCTTTAATTCCCTTTTTTCTTAATCTTCAGTCATTCTTTAACAAATTATACACTCCTGCAAATTATATCTTTTTGTCTCTATATTTATTCTTTGCAATGTGTGTGTGTGTGTAATATGATGTACACATATTTGAACTTTTGTACAGTATATTTAAAACACAATACATAATTTGTATAACATATTATACTATATGCTGCATATGTTCTATTTCAATAATTTATACCGACACTAGACACGATTCATACAACATATTGTGAAGTCAAAGACTAGATCACCAAGGCATTTTTCGAGCTCAGTTTCTCCAGTCAACCAACGCCTCAATGAAAAACAAACCAAAAACTCTCAATTATTCCACACTTATGGTTGCTTTGTATAACACACAAAGA